TGATCTTTCCTGTGAAGAATCCTCAGGAATGCAAGGTTACAGTTACGCTGTAGAACTATTACTATTTAAATTTTTAGAAAATATTTCAAGAGGAATAAATAAATAAATAATCACATCCAACATAATTCCTTTCTATTTTGCTAAGTGAAAAGTGGCCAATGAAGCTCTTGGGGTCTGAATATCATTTAACTAATGATGTGATAGCAGAAATATCAAACATTTGCTAAAAAACAAGTTCCATCTTTTTGAACTTCGACTGAAATTGATAACACATGTTAGTACCTAGTTCTGTGCAGAGAATGTGCCCTCAGCTTTCTGCTACTTTGAAGATCAGAGACTCTTTCACCTTCTCTTGTTTAAAACCATCAGGCTCGAAATGCACCATTAAAATTGTTTATAGCTTAATACAAATAAATGAGAATATAATGATTGAATAAAGTGCTTTCTCTAAATGATTTGAAAAAGATACATTATATTAGACCTATTTTTTCAAAGTACACAATAGCAATAGTAGGAAGAATTATCTCTGAGCAAAAAAAGAAAAGAAAGAAAAAAATAGAATTATTTATAAGAATTAATTCTATACCCAAATTAGGTGGTATAAGATTCCCAAAACAACTAGAAGAGGTAATTTAGCTTTGCATAGCCCTTTACCAGTTAACCATATACTCTTAGATAACCTCACTTGATCTTTAAAGTATCTATAAAGATAAGGAAATACTGTTAATTCCATGTTACAGGCAAGGAAAGTGATTCTTTGATTGGATTTTCAAAAGGTCTCACAACCAGTAAGGTTGAGCCAGGACTTCAACTCTGACCTTCTGATTTTTATCCAGATGCTGATACGCTTGCTCTCCTGCTTTATATGCAATTTTGGTCATTACATTATGAACTCTGTATCACTCTAGTTTGTGTATGTGTGTGTGTGTGTGTGTGTGTATTCTTGAGTTCAGCAGGTAGATTAATTTAGAAGCTATATAATCTCAGGAAACGAAGAAAATATTAGGAGTAAATTAAATAACTCCTTTTGGTGACAATATTAATTTATTTATATATTAAGTGTAACTTATTAACCTTATTCTATGGCATTGCTACTTCCTCCCAGATGGTAAAAGATTCCAGACTTAGAGCTTTTAAATACAGCACTAAATACGGCTCAAAATATAATTCTGGGTCTGCTACTTTATTATGTTCGCATTATATGAGATGACTGGGATTTATATAGTCTGAATTGGCAGCCTTTTACATACTTATTTGACCAGGAAGATATATCAAATTTAGAACCCTCACCCTAAGAATAAGGCAGTTGTAATCCGTATTAGAAAGTTATGCATTTAGACACGAATAAAATGTTTAATGTATAATATCTACAATTTTTAAACATTTTTTTTTTTTCTGATGGTATTTTTCTCTTGGGTATGTTTCTCCTGGGTATTTTTCTCTTAAAGTATTTTGGTCTTGGGGGTTGTTTTATGGATTTCTTTGTTTGACTTCCATAATCCATGTTTGATTCTTTCATTTTCATATATGAAGAGAATAAGAAATCCTGCCACAATAATTATCATTCAGTAAATCATTTTTAGGAGATAGCTTGCAAAATATAACATGTTGCTTTCAATAATACATAACTCTGAAATTAAAAAATTAACCTGTGTTTAATACAATATGAGAATATCAGTGAGCTTTAATTTCAACCTAATACTTAGTAGTGAGTTTTATTATTTTATTTTATTTTTTTGTAGTTGTAGGTGTTGGAGAAGTCGGCGATGATTTTTTCCTTGATAGAATGTAATCACTTTCTTCATTATTTCCTGGATAAGGAAGGCAGTTTGATAATTGTATTTTTTAAAGCATGCACTCAACTTAATGAATGAAACACTGAATAAAGAGACCTATTGGTGAGAAGACTGAATTAATTAATAAAAGAATAATGTCTTTAATCAATCCACCTTTTATTCATCGTCAATCCTAAATTAAGCACCTAGTATGATACAGATTCTATTTCAGTGTGATTTATTATACAAGGTTCTTGCCTTCTATTAGAATTCACACACACACACACACACACACACACACACACACACACACACACACATATATATATATAAGGGTTAAAGTTAAAAAAAAAAACAAAAAACAGTTCCCATCAAGTGATCAAGTGGATTCCAACTCATGGCAGCCCATGTGTGCATAGCACAACTGCATTCCATAGGGTTTTCATGGCTGTGATCTTTCTAAAACAGATCACCAGGTCTTTCTTCCAGTGCATTTTTGTTCCAGAACTGAGAGAGGTAAAACCGTCAGAACAAGTTTACAATGCTGTCTCCAGCATTTGCTATTTAGCCAAGCTACTTAACCCTTTACAGCTATTTATTTAAATCTAAAATAGAAATTATCATATCTAATTCACAGGGTAGTTGTAAGAATGAAATAATTTCCATGGTATAAGGTCTGGCACATAACAGGCACTTTACAAAGAAAAATGTGTTAAAAGGGAATGGCTGCTTACGTGAAAGTGTGTTTCCCTTCCTAAGAGGGATTCACGAGTTAAAGGACAACCACTTGATGAAGATGTTATGGAGGAGACTAAATGGCTAACTAATTATTAAAACTCTAGTAAGACATGATTCTTTAATTCTATGGATATAAAGATAAAGCTGGTATGGTCCTGGCACTGAAGAAACCAAGAATTCATGCATTTTACCAGCCTTTACTATGATCACTATGCATTTATTATTAATTTTTAAAATAAAAAAAAAATGTTTTTCACCAGAATATTTTTCAGTTTTTCTATTAGGACAGCCTGATTGTTAGGAGTACAGAAAAAATACATATACCTTTTACAAGACTTTATATAGGCTTACGATATCTAGTTAAATTCTTCCACATTATATGACGTTCTTAACCCCATTTATTATGTACGAATATCTAGAGGATATCAAAGTATATTTCAGTTATATTATGCTCTTATGAGGAAGCAATTGCCCTTTAGTCACACACTCACATGAGAATAGGTATTGGTGCCCTTTGGAAAGTGCCCTTTGGGTTGTTAAAAGAAAAATTTCATTGTGAAGAACGTAACGTGTAATGTCTGTTGGTAACCATAGAGTATGTAAATGTGGTGCCAATGAATTATTCCCTAAAGGATGCCAAATTCCTGCCATTTGTTGTCTTTCACTCTAAGGAGTTTGTTGCCAAGTTAGTTTTTTCTCCATCCTGTGTTCCAAAGTCTCCTGGGGAAAAAAAAATCATGGGGCATTCTCAAGAGGTTTTCATTGGGACTGAAGCCAAAAATCACATATCTGCCTCATGGGATCCATTTTGAGCCTGGCTGGAGAAACCCTCATGGAAATAAGCTGAGACCCCCATCATGGGCTGTTAGCCAGAGCTTCCCCAGAGAGGTCAAAAATCCATATAGGGCTCTAGATCAGAACAATTTGAATTCCACAGAGAACTGAGAAAAGGTCTTGGGTCTACAAAGATTCAAATCTTTTTAACTCAGAAACAGTCCCAAGGCTGCCATAATTTTCCTAAAGTATGGTGGTAAAGCTCTGGAGGCTTAAATGAAGCTAGTAAACAATAAAAGAAAAGGCAGCTATCTGGGAGTTCCCAGAAGTTCCTGTCAAATTTGAGTCATTATTTTTCCTTGCTACTCTACATAACATAAAGTTCTCTATAATTCTCTTCTCACCGATCTCTTAATCACCATGTCTTAATATATCTCAATGTCTACTTTCTAGTTTGTTTGTTTGTTTTTTAAAAAAAAAAATGTTTAATTTCTGTAATAAAACCCATTGCCATTGAGTCAATTCTGACCATAGTGACCCTTTAGGACAAAGTAGAACTACCCCATAGGGTTTCCAAGGAGTGGTTAGTGGATTCAAACTGCTGACCTTTTGGTTAGCAGCTGAACGCTTAACCACTGCACCACCAGGGCTTCAAGGTCTATAATAGCACTTAATAAAATACTTGTTAAATAGTTTTGCTCTATTGTCAAAGAAAAGCATGTTAATGTAAAACTGGTCTTTTTGTTCAGACTAAGAGATACTTAGTTAAGTAGCACTTGCTTATGAAAATGGAGAAAGAAGATCAAAATCCTTAAATAACTGAGGTAAACAACCTCTGCTCAAGATACATATAAGTAGTTTTACAACTTTACTTACTTTTAGTAACAACTCCCTCCAGTCGAATGATATTAGGATGGTCAAACTGACCCATAATGCTTGCTTCTCCCAGGAAGTCCCTCCTCTGCTTTTCTGTGTAGCCCACCTTCAGGGTCTTGATGGCCACTGAAATCTCTTTCTTTGAAGGAAGTTTTAAGCGACCACTGCACACCTCTCCGAATTCACCTGTTAGAACGGAGAACAACAACAAAAGAAAATAAATTATATAATAAAAAATCATCAGTAAACAGCAAACATTTTCTCTCAACATTATACACATGTATGTCTTTGAGCTGCATGATGTACACAGTAGGTCTCTAAATTATTTTGGAAGTTGGTAATCTCAGATTCTCTAGGAATCCCTAGTATATCCACACCCTGGTGGAAAGCGGACTTGTGAGAAACCTCAAATATTTTGAAGTATCACACTGTGAACAATGCAAGATGAAAGAACAAGAGGCAAGTTGACAGCCATATCAAGACTCTTCATTCTTGTTCTCATAGCTACCATTTTCTTAGGGTAATCAACAGGGCAGCACAGATATTATGGGTCAAGCATTGGATTAAATTTCAGATGTTTTAACCATTCTGTTTTTATTAAGAGGGCCAATTGGCCTATACACTTGGATTCTCTGGAAAATGAGAAACAAAGCATCTGGTCTTAATCCACTTTACTGGAGCATTGGTGTGGTGCATTACTGACACACTACCTGTAAAGTTCTCTGACTTCCAAGTGGACATCAATGATATAACAGCATGAAATATAGCACAGGTTATCTGTACAATCACTGTAGAAATATTTTCTTATATTCAATATATTCAATAAAACGTTGTCTCAAGTATATAATTAATCTAGAATTTGTTGAATATGGAGTGTTCCTGACCTTTAAATATTTTGATCCAATGGATATAAAATTGCAAAGGAGCCCTGGTGGTGCAGTTGTTAAAGCACTCGGCCACTAACTGAAAGGTCATTGGTTCAAACCCATAAGTTGTGCTCCACAGGAGAAAGATGTAGCAGTAGGCTTCCATAAAAATTACAGCTTTGAAAACTCTATGGGGCAGTTCTACTCTGTCCTATAGGGTCACTATGAGTCACAGTTGACTCGACGGCAACAGGTTTTATAGATATAAATTGCCTAGAATTAGGATGGGCACTATGTTCAATACGAATATTTTATTGAGAAGATTTGCCCATTATACTTTCATTAGATTTAAATGTAAAAGATCTGTGAACGTCCTGAGATCACAGATTTTTTAAATTTATCTCTCTGTCCCCACTGATCCCATATTGATTGACACAGAGTAGAGCCATCCAAAGAATGTCCCTTGTTCATAGAAGAAAACCCAATATAGTCTGGATTATCAGATCTGTTTTGTACCGCATTTGAAAAAAAAAAGTGTTTAATATCAAATCCGAGTTTTTCTGAAATATGCTAGAGTTAATTACATGATTACTTTTTAAGGTTTCTGCATAATGAAATAACATTCTTGGTCCAACCTTATCACTGTGAGTTTATCTACTAGCTTCGTGCGCCATGCGCCAGTCAGAAAGGAGATGGCAAGAAGTGAAGTATTTCTTTTCCGGACTTTTTGACCAAGGATTGCCCCACCAAAAGAAGCAGGTTGTCCTAATGATTTATCTGTTGCATCACTGCACTGACTTGCTTCTCTCCTGAAAGCTCTAAACCCCTCCAGACTCTATCCTTCCCAAGGAATCCAGTGCTGTCACTGTCCTCAAAATAATGACTGTAGTTTGGAAAAGCTACTTTAGATCCAAAGCAGATATTCATGTATTCATTTAATAAATATTGATCAGTTGGAAGCAGTGTGACAGACAGTATGAAAACATGGAGATCTAATGGTAAATCAGACAATTCCAGTTTCTTCTTTTGAAGAAGTAAATAGAGAAGACAGCAGTACCTGCAGCTAGAGTACTTTGTAAGATGATAGGAAGAATTAAGGGACAAAACTTGAGAAAGCTCACTGATCTTTCTAAATTTAAGGGTGAATATGTCATTACAAATGTGTATTAGGAGGAGGAGAAGTTATGATCCTAAGTAAATCATTTTTAGAATTTGTAAGCAAAAGTAAGAGTTTCTTTCTTTACACAAGGTTATCTGAACATAGCTATAGAGCTCCACTTCATTTTGTGTCTGGACTATATTAAGTCTGGGCAAACCCAAAGAAGGCATCCATAATGAAAGAAAATTCTGCATCACCAGGAGTCAACATGGTGTAATGGATAGCGTTTTAAACTCAGATGTCATCACCACTTATTCTAAGTGACAAGTCACATGTCACTTTACCAGAAAGGTATTACAGAGCTACGGTTAAGAGCATGGATTCTGGAGTAAGACTGCATAGGACTGAATTCTGCCTCTGCCACTTATTAGCTATGTGACTTTGAGTGGATGACTTAACTTCTCTGTGCCTCTTTTTCCTTATTTATAACATGAGGACATTAATTGTGTCTACCTCATAAAGTTGTTG